CTGAGTCAGCCCTAACTATGAACCTGAGCCAGCCCTAACTATAAACCTGAGCCAGCCCTAACTATAAGCGTTATTAAAAAGGAAAGTCTTAAGCCTACTCTTAAATGTGGTGAGTGTGTCTGCCCCCCGGACTGAAATGGGAAGCTGGTTCCACAAAAGAGGAGCTTGATAACTGAAGGCTTTGGCTCCCATCCTACTTTTTAAGACTCTAGGAACCACAAGTAACCCTGAATTTAGGGAGCGCAGCTCTCTAGTAGGGTAATATGGTACTATAAGCTCATGATGGTGCCTGACCAATTAGCGCTTTGTAGGTGAGGAGAAGGATTTAAAATTCTATTTGTGATTTTACAGGAGCCAGTGCAGAGAAGCTAATACAGGAGTAATATGATCTCTTTTCTTAGTTTTTGTTAGTACATGAGCTGCAGCATTCTGAATCAACTGGAGAGATTTAAGAGACTTATTAGAGCAGCCTGAAAATAAGGAATTGCAGTGATCTAGTCTAGAAGTAACAAATGCATGAACACATTTTTCTGTATCGGATGGGATTGGATGGGGTCTAAAGACAGGTAAAAGATTTATAGACAGCACATCCAGTAGCATTTTCATCCACACAGTGTTCTGTCTGCTGCTGCTGAAGCTTTTTATGGGTCATCCTTTGCTTTACTTCTGACACTAGATGGATTGGTCAATGGTGGAGGGAGAACACCCAGAGGCCGGAGTAATCTTCACTTTATGCTGGTTTTTGTGAGGGTGTGAAAACAATGAAGAAAAAACACACAAATAAACTGAACTGACTTCAACATTGAACTATCCTTGAGGAGTAGTTAATTGTCAGGAGATGATCATGAAGTTTTAATTTCAGTTGTGTATTGCTGTGTTGAAGTATTACTTCATGGTATTCTTCCATTTTACCAAGGCTCTCCTTGAAACCTAAATAGTTAATGAAATATATAAACAATGACATTTTGACTTGTCAAACACATGTAATTAATAGCATTAATAATACCTGCAGTGGGGAAAGAAGGTGTAAATTATAGAATGGTGTAAATAATAAATTGAATGATGGCTGAATTCCATTTAGCAGTTTTATTTTCATGGTCCTGGTATTTTTGATGGTGGCTCACTGTCAAACTGTCAACTGTTCTGTGAACACCTGTGTTCTCCTTATGACAAGGTCAAACGTGTGGAGGCTGTGAGAAAGGTGATTTACTGACATGGCTCACACATAAACCTGCACGGAACAGAGCCATCATTATCATTATAATATTAGTAGCCTCTGCTTTTACTGTTTTAGACTGTTATAGACAGAACGCGGTGAACAATGAATAAGCTGCAATTCACAGCATCAGCACCTTAAGAGGCTTTTCCTTTATATGGTGACAATAAATAAATGAAATAACCTCCTTTTAACCAATGCCATTTTATTAGGCTACCCATCATTTAAATAGATGCTGTAGTATATATAAATAACTTGCAAAAAGTTTTAAGTATGCAGTTTCAGTTAACAGCTGACCTATTGTAACTCTGTTATGCTGTTCATTCTGTACACATGACATCTATCACACTTCTGTCCATCCTGATAGAGGGATCCCTCCTCTGTTGCTCTCCCACAGGTCTCTCCCTCTTTTCTCCCTGTTAAAGGGTTTTTTGGGGAGTTTTTCCTGTTCTGATGTGAGGGTTCCGGGACAGAGAATGTCGTATGTGTACAGATTGTAAAGCCCTCTGAGGCAAACTTGTAATCTGTGATTTTAGGGTGTACAAAAATAAATTGAATTGAATTGAATAGTCTAGGTGTCAGCAATAAGGTTAAACATGGGCCAGTTTTAATATTTGACAGGTTTGATTTCTATAAACCAATCACAGTGTTCCACATCATCTAAAGTGGACTGCTGCTCTCAGGCTGCTTAAGAATAGCATGCGCACACAATTATCTTCATTACTTAAACCTGATGCAAATTAGTCTGATTGGTTGAATTGGAATTTCCTTTTTATTCTTTTAATTTACTTTCATGGAACCGCTTTAGCCCCGACTGAATTGTTAGGTTTATTTAAGTCAGGTTTTGGAAATAAAGCTCCACTTTTCTTACCTTGCTTTTTCGAATGAGCCCTATTCTCTCCTGAACTCCTAGACATCGTTGTCAAAAGTTACCTTACATACAAAATAAAGGTAAGACATTCAAACAGTTTTTTGTTGTGATTCTGTATTTGATATAGAAATCTGTCCTCGTGCATTTTATAGATATTATCATAAGGAAAGTCAATCATGATATTCATAAAAGACTGATTACATGACAACAACCAAATGACCCTAGTTTCAGTCGCAATGAGGTGTCTGTAATTTGGGGTATTTGGGAAACTATCGACAGTACTTTTTTATAGTAGCCCATTTGATAAAATGCAGTGTAATCTCTGTCCGCTCTGGGAGTCCACTCAAAGCGGACAATCCCACTGTTTGAAATTAAAGCAGAACATACTGACAAGGTTGACTTGGTTTGCTTCTCATGGGCGAGCCAAGATGATGTATGAGACTCATACTGTGCAGACAGGCAGCTACAAATTTGCTTGGCTAGTTGACCGGTGGGAGGTTGGGTAGTGAGTTGGGGGGGGGCTTGAGTTGTCACATTAAAGCAACGCAGTGAAAGAAAAAGAAGCCTTTGTACTCATTTTGTCTTTTCTGAAACTGTTGTTTTGTCAAAAGAAAAACATTCTTCTGGTCCGATAATTTACATCTGAGCATGAGAACTAAAAAAAAAAAGAAATCAAAATTGAAATCAAAAAGTGTTTTGCTGCATTTGATCAGTCACATGGTAGACATTTGATTAATGGAAGTGATGTGACTTGGGAAAACAGGCCTCTCTGTGTTACCTCCCCCTTATTTCAACCTCCTCCTCCCCTAGACTGAGCCTTGTTTTCTGCCCCCCCCCCTCATCCCATGCAGAATGAATGGCACAGATGTTGTTGTAACAAGACAGTACCCCATGGTCCCCTTTCCCCTCACTACTCGCTCAGCATGAGGTCTGAAACTTGTTTTTTGATCATTGTTTCCCCGCCCGAGTTCTCTTACCGCGGGAGAAAAAAAAGGACCCAAAGAGGAGGGAGATGGGGAGACCAAGAGCAGCCAAATTAAAGAGGGAGGGAAGGGGAGCACACAGCCATGTTTGAGGAATATGAAGAAAACATACTGTTGAACTATCTCTGTATAACCAGTGGAGCGTAGGACAGGTCACATGTTGGATGTTTGTGGAGCCAGTTCACTTTTTACTGAGGGTATGGTCGGTGCAGCGGAGCTGCAGTAGGGATTCCAGGTCTTGACTGAAGATGCGGGTCGGTGTGTGGCTTCTCTGGGTGTCCTGGTTCTACACCTGGGCAGAGTTCTCGCAGAGGTGCGAGTGCCAAGACGCGTGTCCAACAGAGTCAGGACTGGACAGGAGGTCAAAGAGCCGGGTCAAGGAGCATGTTGGTCACGGTGTGGGACACAAGCGCACGGCTCACAGGAGCAGGCCGCACCGCAAAAAAGGTGAGTCTTTAAAACCCGCACAAGGTTTCAGACTGGAGGCACGCAACACTGATGCTGCAACCTGCTGCAGATGAACCCATGAGTTAGCATGCAAGGTCTGTGCATTTAGTTCTTAAGGTAGGTAACGATGCAGCAGAGCTGACATCAGCTGGTAAATTAGGTAATTTGAAAATTATTCGAAAATATAAATAACATGCTCATTGTTTGGTAGACCACAGACGCCAGTGCTGTATGTGTCAAAATTATAATAATGATTGTAAATTCAAGCATTTTTCCCATTTAAAATTTTTTATTTTTATTTTACTCAAATCCAAGATGTAGAACAATATGAACTCTTCCCTTTGTCACAAAGTGAGATGTAGAACATTGAATGTAAGTGACAAAATACAGTAATGATCATACACCAAATACGGAAATATTTCTTGTTTTTGCATCTCTTGGGCTATGCATGAACACATTCTTTTATTTGCCAAACAAGTTTTTTCACAGACAAAGGCACGTACAATGTAGAACCCAGAGAGGTCAAACGCTCAGTTAAACAAGCTTCTAACTTATTAACTGATCTGAGATCTGAGAGGCTGGTGCTGTGTAAAAAGTACATATCTCACAGATGAAGACCACTCATCTATTGTATTTCACTGTATTTAACTATATTTGACAGTTAGTCCTAAACAGAGCTAATGTGACAGCAGATTTCTAAAACACGTCATCATTTTAAAATCATGTTTATTAGCAATTATATAGTAAAAAAAAGTTATGATGTATTTAGAACAATGTTAAGGATATTTTGAGCTGTTTGAAGCTAAACAATACAAAGTTACACTGCCTTTGAGGAAGGAGTATGTTAAGACAAATACAAAATAAAATGTGTGTACAAGATTTCACAATCGTCCAACTGTTTAAATGTCCTTTTGGTTTTGGTGCCATGGGGAAGCCATCTGCCTAAAGCCCCTATGGGAATCATAATCATGTTCTAACTGTGTGTGAAATATAAAAAAGGTGTTAATAACCCAACACCGATCTGCTCACATCTGAAGGTTTGATTGCAACGTGCAACTCTGTTAAACAGTCAAAGTGTTGCATGTGCTAGAGATGGATTATTTAACTAATTGATTAGAATTTGAAAATGGAATGGTGATGGAATGCAATTACATTCTGTCAACACAGATTATATTTTTAGTTTTAAGCTATTTTAAAGGCGGTTATTCATGTCGACAGCGCTCGTTGATGCCTTTACAAAACACACTTGAATTACACTCAGAACTTACTCTGAAGTCACTTTTTATCGCATTCCTCACTATAGCTGACACTTTCTTTCTTCTCCCTATTCTGTCCCCGCCCTCCGCGCCCGTTCCAATACCCCTCCTGACCTCTGGTCTGGAGCCTGAAAGAGGTCCCTTCCCTCGGCACATCGCGGCGCGGCACCATTCCCATGGGTTGTGTTGAGCCGGGACTCATCCTTCATCCTCTCTAAGGCTTTTGTTGCAGACTGAAAGCTGGCCGATGCCGGGGCCATCAAACCCAAGTTGTTGGATCAATATAAACATCCATCACTTAGCCAGGGCCTTTCTGAGCCTCACAATGAGCCGCTCACTAAACAATGCTCCATTTATGTGAGCCATTGGGAGGAATGAAGTAGCCGTAGCTCACTTATTTCTTGCTCTGTCGTGATGGAACTTAGTTAACTTCATTTTTTTATCCTTCACAAAGTTACGTCTTAACTAAATTCCATTACCTTTTTACACTTTATACCATCACAGCACCTCCGTTTCCTATGTGTATTGCATTGTGGGAAAACAGTGTGCACACACAATCTAGTATTATTTTAATATATCTTTTCCTGCTGGATTAGCATAGAATAGGTTTAGAGCACAAAGCAGTATTTTCTATCTACAAAGTCAATTTCTTTCCAATTCAGTGATTTCCGATAACAATACAAACTGCTTACTTACAGTTGAAGTACTTTGTGGTCCCATTGCAGGAATGAAAGATACATCATTTCCTTCTGTTGTTTAGAGATATATGAGACTCTGAACTTCCTGTTTGATAGCAGTGTTGACAGAGCTGCTGCCACAAATGGTCAAAAACAAACAAACAAACAAGCAGCCGAGATGGGAGAGCTGCTTGTGTTTATCCACTACAGCCATCTCTATTTGATTTGTTAACCATGAACAACTATATCAATGCCATACTCAGACTGTCCTGTGGGGTTTCAGTCTGATCTGTTAGGAAGCGGAGGAGTTTGCCGTGGTTACCAGATAATATATAACAATAATGTCAACAGTTTGTCACTGTATTTTAATGCTGTGTTTTCAGCAACAAAATCATTACATTTTTCAAATGAGGAAAAATGACCAGGGTCCTTTATTAGTGGGATTAGTGGGAATTTGTGTTGCACAGTGAACTATTTGGCATAAAGTATGCATATTTCTACACAGAGGATATGAAATTTGTAAAATAAATAATTTTATTAATTTTAACAAAGAAGTCAAAAGCTCAAATAAAATCTAAGTCAGATGCCATGTGTTGTTCAATCCATCACCTTACTACAATTAATAGCATATTGATTAATGTTCCCTCTTTGTATCTTGTTGTTGCATATTGCTGTCCTTGCTGTTACCTCTCAGGCTGTCATGGACACAGTAAAATCTTACTCTATGTGTTAGAAATCTAAAAAGGGGAATTCTCTAAAATCTTCGTAATAAAGAGTTGTCATTGCTAGAAAACCAGGGGGAAATTATTCTAGGAAAGTTTGTATGATGGCCTACATTTAGCTTCATTTTGAACAATAAATCATTTGGTTGTTTTACCATCGCCAATATCCTGTAAAGCAAACAAGCAGTATGGGATGTAGCAATGTATTTTTTACTTTTTTATTCTTAAAAGATAGATGACAAGATATATATTGTAAACAGCTATTGGCCATTACAATGGAGTGTACGTGTGTCAATAAGGATTTTATTTTGAAAAGCCCACCTGACAGGAAGCCTGATGTCACCACATTACCTTGATGTCGACGCGTTTACAGAGAGGAGGCAACGAGTTGAAGTTGGCGCTGATATTCATTGTGGGACGCTGTTCTTCAAGTTGGAAGTTGGAAGTTAAATTTAAAATGTGGTTGTAGTTCAAACCAAAAGAAGCTGGACTCTCACGCAGTTAGTTAGCCAACAGTTAGCGTCATAAAACGCTATTTACCAGCGGGTTCCTGAAGTATCTCTGAGTGTTACCTTCACTGTCAGTGATGAGCAGCGGTGTTTTCAGCATCGTGTTGGCATCAGTGTTCAGTCTTCTCCTGTCAGGTAAGAAGCCCACGTTTGACATTTGGAATCATTCATGTGTTAACTTACAGCACGACATGAGCAGACAGGTGCGACAGATACAAAGCTTAACTCAGTCCCTCACTGGCATGCTTCATGTGCTAGTTTAACATTCCTGAGTTAAAGACATCTACCAAGAAGACATTAGGCTTCTTCTTGATTCTACTTCCGTGAAGTGTCTTCAAATGGTGCTGATGGTGTACTTACCTTAAATAATAGAATTGGGCTCTAAAGCCCTATTTATCCTATTTATAGCTGCTGTGTCTTCAGCACCACAACGCCATCTGTACTGGTGTTAAACCTTCTGATGATAAACCTGCTCCTTCTCCTTTTTGAATAGTAGCCGGTACATATATGGTTCATACACTCCTGTACATTATCCAAGGAGAACTAAAATAGTGACAGCATCTTTCACTCCCATTGCAAACACACAATAAGATCAATTACACCGTTAACGTTTCATTTGCCAAATAATGAGAAATAGTCCAACTTGCAAATGAGCCAACATCAGAAGCCCTCTCTCCTAACCCTCCAGGTAAAGTCCTGTGTTACGTCATCTCCTACCAATCATTTCTCTCTTATTGATTCATCTGAGATCATTTCCTCAATTGATTGATTCATCGTTTGCTGTATAAAATGTCAGAAAATAGTGAAACAAATATTCATCACAAGCCCAAGTTGATATATTCATATGAAACATAACTTTGAGGAATGCACTATATTAAGCTCTTTATTGTAACGGGTGTTTTGGCTGCATCTTCTTTGCCACTCTTTACTCGGGGACAGTGGGGTTAAACAGGCTGCTGTTGCTTGTCATCTGAAGGTGTTTCCGGCTGTAGTGAGTGAGTGAAGAAGTAGTACACTTCTGAGGATTGTCCGTGCCCAATCTAAGGGACTGCTCGTGCCTGATTCTGAATTACACAGGCAGCATCTGTGAGGGTTCAACTCTCTCCCAGATACTTCCAGCCTCAGTGGCTGTTTTAACATGAAGTGACTGCAACTTGTTTTTTAAGATGTTCTTTTAGTTTGTCAACGGTGAAATTCCACTTATGGAGCGTCTTTTGTTCTGTTGCGGATATGCTGTTGATGGGGGAGTTCCAGTCTGCTTTTGTTCAGGGTCGATGTTCCCGATACCCTCCAGCTTCCTCTCCTGTCAGGAAGCTGATCACAGTCTCCCCGTTTCCCTTCACTGTGGTCATCCAACTCCACGGGAAGTTCAAACAATGGCATTCCACTGCTGCCGGCTGCAAATAGACATTGTTTGCTGGTAGCGATGGCTAACATGTGTTTGTTGTGGGAGTTCTAGAGAGTTTAGATGAACTCGGATGTGGGGGTGCATAGTGCTTCAGGTGTGGCTCTTTCTATACAGGAACAAAAGAAGAAGGAGCTCCAATTGACACAGTGTGTTTTGTGGATTTGTATCCGTGGCAGTAATGACACACGTGATGGCTTAGCCCACATCTATGGGGGTCTGTATCATATTCGCAGCATTAAGGCTCTATTTTCCAACCCTTTTGAAGTGATAGAAAGCCTAAAAGTCTGAACATCATTGGCAAAAACATGATGTTTGCCAGAGGAAGAGAAACCCTCCTTTAGAGCCATTGTCCTCTTTGATATTTGAATGTTCTCAAACTGTCTTCATCATCCTGAACCCAGAAGACAACAGGTGTTGAGGATGACTCCTTTTCACTCCCGTCACCTTCAAAGTTGTCTGATATTTTTGAAGTTGCATAACAATTTGCCGTGAACAGATTACTAATCTTGAAAGCTTTTTTTGTCCTGCGAGTGTTTAGCCGACCAGTTAGAGTGACTGAGGGGAAATGACACCAAGCTGAAGGTATCATCGTACAAGTCTTCCAGTCATTCACTGAGTTCTAGCACCACAGCAAGCCTTAGCATCCACAACCTGAACATGATCACAACCAGTTCATAGCAGTGATGTGTTTATGTTTTTATGTAAATGAATGTGCTATCAGGAGAGAAAAGGTTGGATCCCAGCTCCACTTATTTCTGTCATCGTGGAACAATCATCCTGTCCTTTCTTTAAGGCAAGCTTACTGTATTTCTGCTGCTTTTTCTGCTTTTCTAAACTAGTGCTGGGCGATAATTCAACATGATAATATATCTTCTTTCAATGGAATCATATCGTGATATATCCTAGAATACCCTCGTGTAGTTACATCACTCTATTGTCACAATGTTAGTACTCTGTATTTGTGTGCATGCATGTAAACATAGTCAGTGTACAACTGGAAACTTTCACTTGAAACTGTTCTGTTCATTTTGCACTAAAGTTCTTAATTCATTGAGACAATACTCAATACTTTTTGTTTGTCAAGTATTTAACTCACACAGGAGAATACAAAAACATCTTTAGCATGTGGTTATTCCATACAGACAGAAAACAGGCTGTATCAACATGCTGTATATCGTTCTCTTGATATAAAATGCCATATCGCCCAGCCTTATGCTAAATGACTACAACAAGCAGCTTGTCTCTGCTCTGCTACTAAACATACCCGTGGATGCTGTTAACAGTCTCTACAAAATCTCTGTGTGGTCCTCAGGTTCCAGAGTTCATGGACAGGAGACGCCGCCCCGCATCGTCCACCACCCGGCTGACGTGGTGGTGAAAGTCGGGAATCCCGCCACGCTCTCCTGCCGGGCGGACGGCAGCCCCACGCCAACCATCGAGTGGCTGAGGAACGGACAGCCTCTGGAGACGGGGGGAGACGGACAGCTGCAGCCCATCGTCTTATCGGAGGGGAGCATCTTCTTCTTGAGCGTGGGAGGGGGCAGGAGAGGTCAGGCGCACGAGGGCGTCTACACCTGCGTGGCCAGGAGCAGTGCAGGCACGGCCACCAGCCGCAACGCATCGCTGTACATCGCAGGTGAGACCGCGGACCCTACTACATGACCTCCGCAGACCTCTGGTTCCTCTCAGTTTTGAATTGTTCAAGTATGTGTGATTGAACTAGTTAGCAACTTATGTTATTTATTGTATCATGCACATACAGGTGCCCAGTAGGAATACACCGATATCAGTATCGCTACTGATATCGATACTGATACTGATTTACACTATGATGTGCACATTATTGGAATATGCTGAAGCCATATTCTAGTTTATTTAGAAAAATTCACCATATAAAAACAGGCAGCACTTTATTAACGTAACCCTTGTGTTTTGATGACATTGGCTTCACATTGTTTGGGTTCTCACAAACACTGCTGCTTTATGGGTAAAACAATAATCATAATAATAACAAAGTCAGCCATTTACAAAACCCAATATGTAGAAAAGTATTGAATTGGTAACTCTTCCTTTTGTCACAAACAGCTTGCAGGTGAAAGTGCCAAAGATATAAAGGACCGTAAAGTATATTTATCACACCAAACACGCACATATTTTATGTTTCATGCTATATGGTCTGCACATGAACAAAGCTTTTCTTTTTTCCAAGAAGTCATTCGCCAACAAAGACATATTATTAGAAATAGAGATGTTATTATTGTTTGGGGTCAGTTAGACTACAGAGAGGTCTCACTCCCTGATCAACAAACTGTTCAGATTCACCGATAACATAAAGACAGATGTGGGTTTTGGGAGGAGCAGTCAACATCAATCCCAGACACACAGCATGAGAACATCATGTTTAAAGATGAGGTCTCTGAAAGCCTCATCTTCTGAAACATGTCCTCAGTTGGAATTCATGTCTAGAGGAAATCTAAATCTTGTGTTAAGTATGTTTTAAAGCTGTTAGAGGGCTGGGATCTCCAGGACACATGCATGTTTCTGACATATCCGTGAGACAAACTCAGATCATCCAGCAGCGACCGGTCCACCGTGGACGGACCCAGATCCTCCAGCAGCGACCGGTCCACCGTGGACGGACCCAGATCCTCCAACAGAGACCGGTCCACCGTGGACGGACCCAGATCATCCAGCAGCGACC